TGAACACTCTTTCTATTCCCCCTTTGGATTTCAACAGAGATTTTGATCATGTAAATGTTCTATAATACTTACGTCATAGCTTGATAAATGGATTCAATCCCGTAACGCATGGCAAATTCATCGACTATTTCTTGGGAGGCATCATCAAAGAAAACCTTCCAGGCTTCATCCCCTTTGACCTCTGGGATTTTCACTCCACCATTAGATTTCACTTCAGTCAAGTAATGGAACAAATTCTAAAAGTAAGTGGTTTTCAAATGTTCAGTTTCCTCAGACTAGGCCAGATATATTTAACTGTAACTTTCAGTAAATTATACTTATAATTGCATATAATGTTTCATCAGCATCTATAAACAATAGAAATGTCTCAGATTTTCGTTCTAACGTACCTCATCTTTATACAAATTTTGATTTTATTTCTGTCTAAGTTTATACGGAATCAATGATTTAAGTGTTTCAGGTATACCAAATCATTTTAGAAGGAAGTAAATGTTTTTTCATGTAAACATTTCTACATTCTGGAACATCATCTGCATTCATGGGCTCTGAGTAAATTATAAAGCTCTGGATGAATAATGTGTTTGGGCTATGTTAATACAGAATCTAGGTATGCAAATAATACTAAAGGACTTTGGCTGCAAAATGGTATGAGTCATGACAATGAATTCAGGTTGAAAATAAATATTTTTAGAATTTTGTAATGAAAAAGATCACTACAAAGAATTCCCTTCTGCTTCGAAGAAGTTGAGAAACTGCTGTATGGATGCAGCCTGGGTCACTGAAGGACCCTTTCTTGGATTTCATTTCTTTTTGTGTCTTGGGCCAACAGAAGACTCTGAAAAACAAAGCATGATGCTGTTCCTGTGATCCTAAATCTCTGCCCACATTTTAAGGCCAGTGTTGGCTCCCCATCCTGCCAGTTCAAGGGATTTATTGGTATTGGTCTAAAAACTGAACCACCCTTCTTGATAGATTATCACTGGCTATATTGTAGTCAGGAAATTAAGGCTTGGTTCTATATCTAATGACTGTATAATGTGTAAATGACTTAAATACTGTTCCTCATTTCCTTCTTTAGTAAAATGGAGGTGAAAATAATTACATATATACATTTTCATAGATATATTTAGGAAAAATAATGTACAAAGGGCAAAGATTCTCCCGGCTATCTTTTTCTTTCTTAGGAAGGTACTTCCTCTGTACCCTTTGAACATGGGAAAAGGCATATTCCTCAGCTTCACTTCATATTCTTTGACACATGGGATGTGTCATTTGTATCAGGGAAAAGCTCTGGTGACATGTCTAACTAAGCTCTCAGTTGCAAAGCATCCAATAATAAAGGCCAAGATTATCTGTCTGTGCATTTACACTGAGGCGCAAATGGGAACTGATGAATCTGCCCTTTTGACTCAAATTGGGTGGTCTCTACCTCTCTCTAAGCCAACCAGGCTCCTTCTTTTGGGTAGTATATTCTCTACTACCCATGGATGGAAAACTACTTTCTGATACTTGCCACCCAGATGTGTTTGTGTAAAGGGTAGTTAAAATGGAGGAGGCTTCAGTATGTATAAAGCCCTCTGTTGTACTCAGAAAAAGAAAGACAAAATTACTGCTAATTACATTATCTCCCCAAAGCCATTGCTACAACGTCAGAATTTTTATATTTAATAGATAATACTCCTAATTAAATCTTCAACAAAATCTGAACACTTACTCAGAATTCTCCAAAACTATCACGATTTGGACCCTCTCCTCCATTATTAAAGTACTACATATTTAAAATGCTTCCAAAATATCATGACTTATTTCTTCAATGAATGCTTTCTAATAATCTTCTTCCTCCCTGGAAGCCGCCTCATATGTTTGTTCTAAATCTCATTCAAAGACAACCAGCTCGGGCTTCCCTGGTGGCGCAGTGGTTGGGAGTCCGCCTGCCGATGCAGGGGACACAGGTTCGTGCCCTGGCCCAGGAAGATCCCACATGCCGCAGAGCGGCTGGGCCCGTGAGCCATGGCTGCTGAGCCTGCGCGTCCGGAGCCTGTGCTCCGCAATGGGAGAGGCCACAGGGGTGAGAGGCCCACGTACCGCAAAAAAAAAAAAAAGACAACCAGCTCTCTCTTCAGGGGGTAATACATAGGCTATGTGATACCCTAGCACATCACTTGCTATAGTATAGAGTAAGAACTTCAGGGACAATTTTACAAACCTAATTCAATTCTATTTTTAAAACAATTATTTTGTTGCATGATCCATAAACAATACAATCTTTCCTAGGTTTTGTTATTAATACAATTCAATTTACTTACCTCATGTAAACATGTATATTGTAAATGATACGGAGCAACCTTCTCCTCTCCTTTTATTTCCACATTGATTTTCAATCGAATGGCCCCAGACACAGCTGATTTATCTGTCCGTTTCTCTGATAAAGCAAAAAGTAATTGGCCAGTCAGTTTTGACATCATGTTTCTTATACAAGTTCTTGAAAGCTTTAAAAAAGGGCTTATATTGCTAAAAGCCATTTTTCTAGAGCAGGTTTGATTAACCATAATGATTCTGCTAAATACAATTTAAAATAATGTGCCTAATATGTCGCTGGGATTGTCAAACTGTGATATAAATATTTCAAATAGAAAAGCTCAATCAGAAAACCCCACCATTCTGATATAAATTTCTGTGTACTAGATCAGTTTATACAATGAAATTAATTATTTGGGAAATTAAAAGCAAAATAACTAAAAGAAAAAATTAATCAGGAAAGTATTTTATCTAAAAGCCCCACTCTTTCTTTCTGTCCTTGAAAAAATGAGTCAAAGCTCTAACAAAAACATTTGTTATTAGGTTTCTTTGTCAGTGATTCATGAAGACCTACAGCCTACAGCCTGTGTTTACTTATGTGTTAGATTCACTCTTTCTTTGAATGGAATCAGTATGTAGCCAATTCAGTCTAATAATGTGTGTATAAGTGTATGCACGTGTGTCTAACATGAACTGAGTAGTAGCTTTGAGAGAAAGAAAAACATAGTCACAAAATTCCTAGGGTGTGAATGTAGGTAGGAGACCTATGTCTGATACCTACTTCCCTGATGAAACACATAAAGAAGCAAGCTGACCCATCTCAAAAACAAAAGATAAAGAGATAGAGCGATACAAAGTCAGTGGTGAAGACTTCTTTAATTACCCCTTTTTCTAAGCATAACTGTATTTTTAGCCAAATAAGATACAGTTAAATCACATAGTCCACTTTCTTCTTGTGGAATGTCTGATGACTTTCATCGTTAATATTTAATAGTCATTGTGTTGTGAAGATTCTTCCCTTAGGACTGCCAGGATCTTGAGAGTTTCTCCTATTGGCTGGGAGATCGTTGATTCTCAACAAATGCTGAAGTTCTCTGCTGAAGCCAAGAGAAAGTCAAGTCCTGAGACCTTTTTGTCACAGACCTTTTCCTGGAATCACAGGGGAACATTTTAACTACCATCATCACAATGGATCCATGGGACACAGGCTCTGCTTAAATGCCTAGGACTTTTGGCCAAGTCCTCCTCTGCATGGTGGAATGAATTCTAAGTAATGAGGAAGGAGGAACATTGTACAAAGAATGAAAATATGGCACTAATGGGGATGGAACCCACTGTGGGATTTTATACAAAGCTAAGACCTGTTCTCTCTCCTCCTAAAGGTTAAACATCAGCAATGACAGCACAAAAGTATGAATTGAGGATGAGCAGGCAAAGGTGTCCATGTTTGTTGCATCATGTTTTTCTTTCCATAGACTGAAGGACTGTTTCTGCACAAGAGCTGGGTGGCAGATTTTATTAAAAGCACATTCAAATTCTTTTGCAAACTAAATATACCCTTGTACGTTTTGTCAAATGAATAATTTGAGGAATTTCTGTTCTGAATTCTAACTCCCTCAATTTAAGAACATGTTAACTTATTGAAAAAAAAAAAAAACCAAGAACAAAAACTCACGTAGGCAAGCCTCTTTAAAACACAACTTGTGAGTACTGTGCAGAGTTAATGCCCTGAAGTTTACCCTTGCCTAACATCTCTGTTTTCATATATAATGTTATTTAATAGTATAAACAAGATACAGGAGGATTATCATTATAAGTGGAGCAAAACCTCTATGCCAATAATGGAGAAGCACCAATTTTCTTTAAAGATTTCCTCAAAATAAAATATTTTTTGATAACGAGTTTTTCGTCTAGCTTGAATCATCTATGTTCAGATAAGTTATATATCTCTCCTTCTTTAAATTATTATATAATTCAGATATTCATTAATTTTGTGGCATTACCCCTTTACTGTGCCAAATATTACATGACTTGAAGTACGTAGGTTTTTAAAAAGTCAAAAGCACTCTTTAATTTGCTAAGATAAGTTGGTATCCTAAATGGAAACACTTCGTAATCCTGGGATTACGTAAACCTTTCTTAGATTCACAACCAGACCTTAAAAATTTAATTAAAACATTTCAGATGATATGATAAAGCCATTTTGGATCACGGCCTTTACAGAAAATGAGGCGATCCATATATATTTACTATTATTAAGTCAGCACTGAAGATTCTAGCTTATTATTCAATTGTAGTAAAAGTCAAATTAAAACTTATCTTTATTCAATTCTTGGTTCCATAATAAAATTCCATTTTAAAATCATGCCAATTAAATATATTCTCAATATCTTCATCATCAGAATAAGCAGAAGCCCACATGTGTATCTGGCTTTGCCTGCTAAAGCCTACTTTTATATCATCTTTGAAAAATATCCAAAATACACTTTTCCTTTATTGACAAAATTCATTAAGGGACTAAAAGGAAATAAGTCAGACATTATTAAGTCATAGGTTATTTATTTTCTATACATTTGGCAAAGTTTTTTGAAGCTATACTTTATGAATTAAAAATTCAGAATGGGAAATTTTTCTCCTAAAAGACACCCAGTTGATTCCTAGAAAGACTTTTCTCTTTTCATCTCAAATTTACCAATATCTTTCAATAATACAGAGTTTGAATAATTATCACCTTAATTTCTAATGAAACTAAACTGCCTGAAGTCCATGAGAATGTTCGAGAAAAGCATGGGTTATTTTTACCTATATAGGAATATAATACCTTCCACAGATATTCTGGAATTTTATTTAACAGTTTTCAAGTAGATATAAAGACAGTCACCTAAATTGTACCAGACATCCATTTCTCCACTCAGGGTCCTCACTTCTACAATTGTTTGTCCCAGAAAATCATCTGACTCCTTTTTGAAATGTTGCTTCACTCTGGATTTAATGTCATCATCTTCATCCCACACTCTGACTTTGATTCGATCTGTGGAGTTATGGCACTCACTGAAAACAGATGTGGATAAGTTAACAACCATTGATAACTTCTCTAAATGGCATCTGATGTTAGCAACTTGTTTTAAATCTATCTAAGCCAGAAAGGCATAGTATATTACATAGTAAATAAGATTTCCCACAGACTATTCCACCCATGGGATGTTGCAGGTATCAGGGATATTGAAAAAAAGTTATGATAGTTAAGTAATGTTAATAAGAGAAAATCCTACCCCATTCAATTCTATTTCCTTTAATTGAACTGGACATAATCAAATATGGATCAGAAATCTTTGGGATATTTTATCTAAGGTATATTTCTTATTTGCAATAGTTATCTATGACAACATGTCCATGCTCAGAAAATTCTGTACCACAAAGATAACTTTACAGATGTAACCTTACAGAGAATATCATAATTGCAATGGGTATTGAGGAAGTGGATATCACAGAGTCCGATTGCTAAGCTAAAAATCCCTGTAAGCATGTAAGACATTGTTAAATCAAATCATCACATATGGATGCCCAGCATCTCTAAACACTCTCCTTCCATTTTGGCTGCAATTCTCCTTATGTTCCTCGTCTTCTCAAGACAAGCTAGATCAAATACATTCTTAGATTCCTTTGTAGTTATGGTCCAGATATTTGACCCGCATTCAAGCAAGATCTGAACTCAAATTGAGCAAAGCGAGCCAGTGACTGTATTGTGGGGTTTTGCTCTTTCGGCAACACTAGTGGTGGTCTTTTGTACTTTATTGTAGAGTCTCCAGTATTCAGTCCTGAGGGACAAAGTATCGATCAATGGTGGCAGTGATGTTTTCTCCAAAGAAACCCCATGATATAATTGAACATTGTTTCTGCACAGTAGATTTAGAGGTGGGCATTTGGACCTCTCCAAAAATTCCTGAGTGACCTAAGAGTCTATGAAATAATTTTTTTTTCTGTGTAAGCTAACTAGAGTAGACTCTGTTGTTTGCAACTAAGAATACTGATCAATGAAATAATTTTTAAAGAATGAAGGGAGCTTCAATAATAGGCCTTAAAATGTGAAAATGACTGTGGAGGAGACGATGAGGGCAAACAGTGAAGATTTAATTACCTCAGGCTCGAAAGCTAATGCATTTTGAAATGCAGTAGAGAAACTGCTGGTCAAACTGTTGCTTGCTATACTTTGGAACTGTGACCACATGCCAACTGAAGCTTTTTTATTAGCGTGAATGGTAGGAATAAAATTCAGAATATTGGCATGTGCTTATTAAATCTTGCTGCTTTCAAAAGTGTACTGTGGTAGAGATGCACTCAAACTAGAGCTAGACAGTCTCTAAGCACAGATGCAAGGGAGCACAGCTACCTTTACCTACAAGCAGAGGCTCACTCTGCTTGTGTCCTGCAATATAAATTGACTGAGAATATCATAATTTGGAACCTTGCAGGGTTGAGAACAGCCAGCTGCTCCTGTATACAAAATGTATGTATACAAGCAGAGGTTTCTGAGTGCAACTTCAAAAACATACAAAACTGTTGCCCCAGGGTGTTTCAAACACTTTCCTTTAGGAAATCTCTAAGTGACAATGAAGGGGAACTTAGTGGCAAAGATCAGATCAATGGTGTTGCACCTTGGCATGCAGTTTTGCAGGGGCTGAGGCAGCAGCCATTACGTTAAGTGTGAGGAATTGGTCAGAACAAAGGAGTCAGTAGCAACAAGTTACATTTTCCAGGCTGATGTGATTACTCATAAAATGGTCTTGAAACTCACCTCCTGGAAGCCTGGTAAAATTTCCAGAGCATGGTATTTCCAAATGTGCCTCAGGCTCACTACAGCTGTATTTAAAGTAATTTCTGGGTCTTTGAACTCACAGCGAAAGGAAATGGACTCCAAGTTGAATCTCTTCCCAGCTAGGAAAACCATTTACCTGGATTTCCTGGGATGGTCCCAATTTATGGTTTTATAGATATGCAATGCCTCTTAATTCTTTTTGGAGCCCTCTTTCTTTTACTTTCATTTTAGTAGGCATTGGCACATTGGTCAAGGACGGTCTCCCCAGATGTAGAACCAAGGATTTGGAGAAAAAAGATAAAAGAAATTCGCCAAGAAAGAAGTACCAGGGCCTGCCAAATTGGCTAGCATCAGGAAGTCCTGAGTAACCCACCCAGCAGGACTCTATTATATTTGCTATGTACCACCGAGAGTCATATATTTTCTTTTTTTTTTTTCTTTTTTTTCTTTTCGGTACGCGGGCCTCTCACTGTTGTGGCCTCTCCCGTTGCGGAGCACGGATGCGCAGGCTCAGCGGCCATGGCTCACGGGCCTAGCCGCTCCGCGGCATGTGGGATCTTCCCAGAACGGGGCACGAACCCGTGTCCCCTGCATCGGCAGGTGGACTCTCAACCACTGCGCCACCAGGGAAACCCAGTCATATATTTTCTACGTTCCCTCTTACTGAATAAATCTTTTTAAATTGCTATTATCCTATTTTCTTTTCTCTCCACAGTAATACATTGGGAATGTTAGAAGAAGATGACTTGTCTTTAGTGTATAGACCTAAGGATCACAAAGAACCAAACCTGTAGCCGAGGGAGAGATTACCCAAAGATCCTAGACTTCAAGCTAAATACAGTAACTGGATATAATTTGGGGATTACCTGCCTTGGAAGACAGAGGATGAATTCATTTTATTTAAAGTACAGAGAAAGATATAAATATTGTGTATAAATATAGAATGCTCAGAGAGGTGGAAGGTGACAGATACAGTAAGTTCATTCACTCAGCAACCTTTTAAGCCCTCCTTCCCTTTCCTGCTTTTGTGAAATATCCCAGTCTCCCTTGCAACTAGAGATGACCACTTGACATAGTTCTGCCAATGAGATATAAGCAAAAATCTTCTTGCCCTGTCTATTCTGTTTTCTTCTTTTATTACTCTGGAACATGCATGTAGAACATCCTTCACTAAAGATGATAAAACAGGAAGATAGATTTAGCTTTTTTCTTCAATGGAATAATTGAGTTACCAGACTAGCCCTCAAATGCCTATACCTGGAATTCTTGTTGAATGAAATAAATAAATCTCTTTTTGACTAAGCCACAATCATGGCTTAATGTGAAGCTGAATAAAATTCTAATTGAATCAGTGGGAAAATAATTAAGTATCTACCAAGTTCATTTTGTTTGATTATATATTAAATGATTTAAAATGTTTAATTTATTAACTCTTACTATTTTTGTACTTGCTGTTTTATTCCTTAACTATTTAACATGTGTTTCACAAACCTTGACTTTTATGAAAATATAAAGGCGTGCAGTTTAGATGGGAAACTGGAGGCTTATGTAGGAAAATTTGACAGAAAGAAATATTTTTACACACAAGGGAAAAGTCTATCACATAAAATACAGAGAAAAAGCATACTCCCATTAAATCTTACTCCACTAGATCATTCCCCACCTGATTAATTAGCTAACAAAGACTCCTGGTTTAGTTCACCAGCTTGTGATTTGGCCTTTCTATAAGAAGAGAATAAGATATTTTACTGCATAAACTCTTGCTAAATAAAATAAGTATTATTAAAGCCATTTGCTTTGTAGTTTTTTTTTTAACTAAAAACAATCTGCATCTTAAAGAGTAGTTCATATGTCTAATTTTGTGTTTTTTCATTGTTAAAGAGAGAAATGGTTTGGTTTCCATGGGAATAAGTTATTTTATTCTTTCCCAAATTAAAGCAAAGCATTTCCCCCTTCTGGACTCAGAATTATTGTGTGTGTTTGTGTTCTGTTTTTTCTTTATTTTTGTTTTCAGTTCACAGATACCCTATCTCTGTACAGCCAATCACTATTTGGCCAATTTTCTTTTGGCAGCCATCCAAAAGACTAATTTCCTTATAATTATTTATTCCAAATTTGCAAATGGTCTTACTGCAAACATTTTTAGATTTAGAGTTTCCTGGATATGGCCCAAATACATATCTCCTATAATTAAGGCAAAACAAAAAGAAAGACAAAAAGCAAATAAAAAAAACAAACAAACCCCAAACCCACTCCTTACCCAATTTATCAGAGTTTAACCTATTCTGAGAAGGACTGCTTTACCTAGAGAAATGCCCATGAATTTCATAAAGCCAATAAAGCCTGATTTCAATGGAACAACGAGCTGTTGCTCAAGTAGTCATCCTCCAATGGGAAGTCATTACAAAAGTAGTGTATGAGCAAATGACCATTCAAAAATGAGAACTGTACCTATAGTCAAGCTAGTTCTAATGAAGCAACAAAAATTCATCTCACACGGCAACTATATCAGAAAAAAGGCCAATAGTAAATGATGTTGCCATTAAAAATCATGTTCTTTAAGAGTTTATAAAATTCTAGCTATATATTTTAAGTATAGCAAATGAAATTTCTATAATATTTTAATGCTATTATACCAGATTTTGTTAATAGACACATTAATCAGAGAGATATTAAATATATATGTGTTTTTATATACATATATACCCATATATGTGTATGTATATATATATGCGTTGAAACAAGCTGTAAGGTTATATGTCAAAATATAGGTGGTAAAATTAGTGAAAATTTTTATTTTATTCTTTATATTTTCCTATCACAATCAACAAAATTGTATTTTAAAATATCTAGTAATTGTAAATAATCTCATTTCAACTCAAGCTGGAAGTCAGGGCATTGACTGAGAAAATCATCAGCCAGAAACCTGCAAGAGCCATCCTTAGGCAAAGCAGCAGCAGCCTTTCAAGCAGTGATTGAATTCTCTAGTTACAGCTTAGTTCCTTAAACTCTGACCCACCAAATGGAAACATGTGAGACACCTGATGTGCACATTTCCTCTCAGTGATTTATTATGAATTATGTAACCCACTACCATCACAGTATATGTGTCTTGTTATTGAATCAAGAGCCCTAACCCTATTATCTTTTAATTGTATTATAATAGATAGACAAACTCTAAGTTCAAAAGCCAGTGCCAGTGCACAGCAACTTTCCCCACTGCATTTATCAAGGA